CAACGCCCGGCATACAGCACAATTTTTATGGTAATTACTCTCAGAGTTTTAAGTGAGGTCCCCAAAGCTGAGAGTGGGGGTAGAATCAGCTAAGGACACTTGTGAAAATCATCTCGTACACTGATTAGAACATATTTGAGAATTAATAAATGAGGGCTTATCTTTTCAACATGGAGAGCATTAATAACTAAGAACTGATATATTTTCAGTATCAGGATGGGCTGATATTATTTGGGAGCTTTGTACCATAATCACTAATTTTCATTGATAAATTGTTTCTTCTACTTAATTGGCTTTGCAGTAGAGACTTACAGCACTCTTGATTTATTTCCACAGAAAGAAAAATGTTCAGAAGTTTCTATTTGGTGACTATTTCTTAATACACTAGATTTGAGCATCTGAAAAACTCTTAAGCACAATGACTTTGATAAGACCAAATATCACCCAATAGAGGAACTACTACCTTAATGCAGTTAATAACAGGTTTTTGGCTATTGTCCATTGGCTGATTATCTTCTTGTTAAAGAAGGGCAAGGGATATAGCATGAACAACATTGTATACAGTGTCACTGTCACAACTAAAGGCCATGTCAATAGTCCTGACCATTAGCCATTCCAACAAGGCATTGGATGAGCAGTTTTTCAGTGTCTTACAATTAGATTCCAAGACCTCACAGTTAAAATTAATCCACCCAGCCTTTCCAAGTAATCATCTGAGTATTTGCGATGGACCAATGTGTAGATGTAACCAACTGTCTTATTAAATAAGAAACATAGAACGAATGTAAAAGAGAAAGCCAAGAGGTCAGGGCTCAGAGCTAAAACCTTACCCTTCCTCCTGCGGTAGTCCTACCTCTCCGAAAGGGACCTACTTCCTGTGTGTCTATCTTTAGTCTTTCTGTTTTGCCTTCTCATTGGTTGTAAACCCAAACACGCGAGTGCCTCTTCACTGCCTGTAAGTACAGCCCTCCAGGTCTTAAAGGTGTGTGTCTCCAATGCTGGCTGTATCCCTGAACACACAGAGGCTTACCTAGCTCTGCCTACCAATTGCTGGGATTATAAGTGTACACCACCACCGCCCTGCTTTCCTATGGCTTGCTAATAGCTCTAACCCCCGGGCAACTTTATTTATTAACATACAATTAAAATCACATTTCAGTACAAATAACATACCACTATATAAATGCCTTGACTAAATTTTAAAACCAGAAATCTCAGCATAGTGGGGTGCAAAAGCTAGAGTCCCAAGAGATGAGTCAAGTGTGAATCTTATCTTACTTGTAGTGCCATCCCATTGTGAAGTGGTAGCCCATATTCTTTGCATACCTAGAGATACACTGCTCTAAGGCTCCCAGCTTGAGTACTGTTTGTGTCACTATAAATGACAACTACATTTATGGATATGTTATGATTTGTTTATAACACACATCAGCTCTTGACATGTAAATATACTTGTTGCCTGGGAGCATGATCACAAAGGTGAAACAGAATATTTTTTCATGTTGTTTCTCAAATGTGAAAGAAATAAAGTAGTCTGATCATTTTCTATGATGGACAATCCAATCCAGAGCCAGCTGAAGTGAAACATTAAAGAGATCATGGCCTCTCCGAGAGATGTGCCTTTGGGAGGCATCTGATACAGACAGGGAAAGTGATCATGATTGTTCATGATACGATGGAAGGGTCCATAGGTAAGCTAAATGACCTAGGACACAGGAAGCAGCATGAGTATCATGTACTCCTAAAAATTTGTAAGAACACTTCTGCTGAGTATTCTAGAAAATCCCCTTACTTGTTATTTTTTCCATCATCTCTGTTTCACACAAGGACATGTGGAAGCACCATCAAGTCTCTGAATTGTATGCTTGAACTACAAAATTGGACATGACTCTGAGGCCAGTCTCCTCCTCACACTCTTCTTAGCATCCTGGAAAGCTACCAGTGAATACAGGATTTCTTGCAAAATCATCTCAAATAAAACTCACCTATTGAGATTTGTAGATTTTTAGGAAGTCCCAATGATGACAGATGCTGCCCAGTAAGGTTTTGTAAGCACCACTGTATACCTGATGTCTTTGTTAGAGACATAATTAAGGGGAGTTTCACGATTTTGTTCAAAAAAATAAAAAAGATTTTATAATTGTGACACAATATTATACCCCCTGTTGGTATAGAGGTAGAAGAATCATATTTTATAAAAGATCAGGGTTCCTGTTGACGTCAACAACAGAAATAGCCAAGGCCAGAACAAACTTATAGTCTACAGTTGGTGCTCTGTAAATTCAACACTGTTTATTTTGAACAGAAATCTATAGATGATCATTTGTAATCAGGATGAGTCTTATCCTGTACTGAATGGTATTCCTAACCATCTACTATGATTGAAACAAATATATCGTTTTGTGAGATTGAAATGACAGAGAAGCTGGAAGCTTGAAATATCTTTAAAAGTTGATGAGAGTGCATCTAACATAAATAAGATGAGACATTGCATTTTCCACAGAGAGGACTGTCCATCTCTGGTTTTGCATGCTTGCTCAGCAGGTAAATACAAGGGCACAGTCTTTGACAAAATGGAAAACCTGATCGTAAATTCATTTTGAAATTATTGAACAGTGTGAAAAATACATATGGTGCATGAGCCAACTTTCTGGTAATTTTTATGAAATTTTATAAACTCAATTGGATACAGCATTCAAAGTATGACAGTTGAATGCACAGTAGTCTTTCTGAGACAATATTTGGCTCAAGTACTGATAATTCATTGTAATTATTTGGTAATATATTTTACATATTCCCTCATGTTTATCCCTATCTTTTTCTTTTTTCTTTCTTGTTTATCTATTTCAGGAACAAATTTTTTTTTTTTTTTTGGTTTTTCGAGACAGGGTTTCTCTGTGTTGCTTTGCGCCTTTCCTGGAACTCACTCTGTAGCCCAGGCTGGCCTCGAACTCCCAGAGATCCGCCTGGCTCTGCCTCCCGAGTGCTGGGATTAAAGGCGTGCGCCACCACCGCCCGGCAAGGAACAAAATTTTAAACTATTTATTTTGTAATAATTTTAAATATCAGAGTATATCTGTTAAACAAATGCATCTGTGTGTGTGTGTTTGTGTGTGTGTGTGTGTGTGTGTGTGTGTGTGTGTATGACAACTACTCATTTACGCCATAAAGGGGCAACAGATTCCATGGTTTTGAGTGACAATTGGCTATAGACTGGCCTGGCATTAAATGCACAGGGATACCCCTATTCCATTTCCCAAATGGTGATATTAACAGCATGTTAGTAAACTCTAGTATTGTTCACCTATTTTATGTTTATACAATTATGTTCAATATAATAATACTTGATATATCTGACCAACATAAAATTTCTCATAGAGAGCACATTTTGCATTCATTTTCATTTACAAATGCACAACATTGGCATTGTATTGAAAACTAGGGACATCTGGAAATTGCAGTAGGATTTATTTGTATCAGCATTATATTTTGTATGCTAAAAGATTATAAAGTGTGCTATGTATGGAAGATATTTATTGATTTTGAAAATAAATATAGTCAGAAAGTTAGTAAGCATAGAACAATTTCATTTTGTGCTTATAAGTATGGGAAGAAGAATAATACTCTTGTCTTTTAACTGACTTTGCATTATCTGACAAATAAGCTTCAAACTCAGAAATACTCTTTTATTAAGAATGATTCACTCAGAGTTAAATACAGCCTGAATCCCACATAGAAATTGTACCACTGTGGTATCTTTAGGTACAAATACAGATATACATCTATGCATTTTTGAATAAAAAACCATTTTATTATATTCTTTATTACCATATGGAAAAATGTCATTGAAATTGTCAGTAACACTCAACAAGAATTCAATATTGTAACTTATGAATCTCAAACACTAACTCCTGCACACTAAACAATAAGAAGCATCAATCAATTGAACTGTTAGAGCAAACAACTGGATTAAAGTGCTATGTTTGAAAAAAAAATCTCTGCAGTACACAAAATCAAAATGTGTATATTGCCGAAATTGGTAAAATATGCAGGTCAACTATAACTTGTAAAATCACAGAAAGAGAAACATACGAGTTAAATGTGATATAAGTGTCAGAGAATAAACAGCTTAAACATAAGGAGAAGAGACACATGCTTCTTAAGTAATAGCAAAGATGTGCTAGTAGGTAAGTGTTCTCAAGTGTGGCCAAGTATCACATGCCACTGCTGTCACTCAGGCAAGGGACATAGAAAGTAAGTAATCACCACTATTACTGACCCTACATTTCAAAGAATGTAAGCATGTCGTTTTCAGTCTACACATCCTTCTTTACCCTAAAGAGAGAGTGAAGAACTAAACTTTGAAATTAATGGCCTGTAGTAATCCATGTATATGGGTGAAAATGGGGAAACAGGAACACATATGAAGTTCACAGTGGGAAGGTCTCCTACTTTCATTCTTAATGCAGCTTTAGAAGGCACGTGACCACATGCAGAGCATCTGAGAGAGTACCTGAATAACTATGGAAAAATTCTCCAGGGCTGGGGGTACCACAAATATTAGTTGCCCTAGCACATGTATTAGGAGTGACGTAGTGATCAAAGGGTCATCAGAGACTCTACTTGACTCTCATTTACTTACACTCATTTAGAATGATAGTCGTTGAATAGATTGGGGTTTTGTTCAGTAAGACACCACCAGCTACTGTGCTGTGGAAACTGTCAAGAGGAGGGCTATATGTGATGGAACAAATTAGAGAGCCCTTTCTTCACTCAAATGTAGCCTGTTAAGTAAGAGAATAACTGGGAGAATAACAACACTCTCTGGACAAATTAAAATTAGAAAAAGAGCATTGAGTCTCTAAAAGAATCTGGGGTTGTTTATTGGTTTGCAAATTGGGTAACAGAACAGAGACTCAAAGCATTTTCTGATTCTCATCTTCCTCCCCACCATGAAATATTCATAATGACATTTACATAGAAAATAGAAAGAAACTTACTGGGTATTCAGAATGTAGTTGAAATAATCCTTCTCCACAGGCCACTGCACTGTAAAAAGGAAGAAGATACAACTTGTCAACAAATCTCCATCCTTGTCATTGTTCTGCTTCATTTTCCAAAAGCAATTGGGATGGGTGATCCTGGACACAAGAAGTGGAATGTTCAGGAGCAAGAGGAGGAAAATCAAAGTGAACATCTTTTTCCAACTTGAAGACTGATCAGTGTGTGTTGTGAAGTGCTGTTAAGATCAGCACATTATATGGGCACCTGTATAATCCAACCTGCTTTTATTTCTGTATGAGAGGCTACTTGTGGGTTCATGATTCCTTTCTTCCAGATGATTCAGCCCCTCTGTAGGAATCTTGGGCAGTATCTTCCCTGGGGCTCTGCAGCTGATGTCCATGTGATTAAATTTGGTTTATAAATATATATGAGGAGACTTCAGGTAATTTTATGACATCACTCATATTTGTGAAAATAAAGGGTCTTTGGAGGATGTCATTTTGAGAAAATTTGGTCCCAGAACTGCCTGAACAATCTGTTTATTTTAATGCCTTTAGAAATGATGTCAGTAGATTTTGGCAGATGAACCACATTGAGATATGTAACAATGGTTCAGGGAGAACTAATACATTTAGAATTCATGGGTACATACTGGGAACTGTAGCACAAACGCCCTGTAGGGAAAAGCAGCTCCATGTTTACAGCAAGTGAGTTCCACACAGCTTGCATAGTGGAGCCTATGCTACACCTGTGACAGTCACAGGATAGCTAACCAGATCCTGTGCTTCCAATGTTTTGTGAACCGATAATCAGGCCAAATTCCAAAATGTCCTGAATCCTGCTGTTCTACAACTATCCAGCTCTTCATAGAGCCTTTGTTACATTACAGCATTGCAAAAATGTTTTTAAAATATTCAGTAAGTTCCATAACTTCTTCTTATATTTCAAATGCAAAATAAGATCTCTCATTGATCCTCTAATCCAAACATTATTAAACAGAAGATAAGGCAAATATTTGATTTCTAAAACATTGTCTTCATCCCCAAGCCTCAGTTCTAATAGTTTAATTCCATGTATTGACCCATTTCTTCTGCTTCATCTTTGATTTCCTATATTCTTTTTGTTAATTTTACAATCTACTAGTGGCTGCATAGAAGAATTTTTGAGTATCTTAGAAGCAAGTAGAAACTTTAAAGTGATCCTCAGTTTAATGTGTAAATTGCTCTTATACAATTTTCCTAGCTTTCTATTTTGGTTTGCATTCTAGAACCTGCAATGCCAGTGTGAGTGTTCTGATGAGCCCTTTTTAGTGGTTTGGCACTGCACAGAAAGCAGAACAATGTAGGGCAATTGTTTAAAGTGTTTAGTCATGTGTCCTATTTAGTATTTGAGACAGAGCACACAGGGCTAGTGTTCTCATGTGGATCTTATTGTACATGTAATAATAAACATTTAAACACTCTATGACCTATGGTTCTATGATGAGCCATCCTGGGGGCCTTGGATATGAAAATGCATAAATGTGACAGGAAGAATCTTTTGTAGGAAGACAGAGATAATATACATTTCATGGAAAGTGAAAATAAAAATTCCCATGCTACAGTTTCAGCATGGTATCCAGTTTTGTTTTATATGGTATAATTATTATTTTTTATAAAAATAATATACTTTATGTTTTGGCAAGTGACACACGTAGCATGTCCTTTTTTTGGTATTTCCCCTCTCTCACTTATATGTGTTTCTCATCTTACTACTCATTCCATTCCTCTGTCTATGTAATTCCCTTCTGAATTTATGATGTGTGTTTGTGTTTGTGTGTATGCATGTTGAATTAATGACACAAGTGTCATTTTTCTTTTATTGGATTCACATGGTACCCTATCCCTAGTTCCTCAAGGCCATCCATTCTCAAAAACTACCTCTTCTATATTTTTGTGTAAAATATTTTCATATATGTGAACATACCCAAAAACATGCACATGTACACATTCAGTTGAGCATTATTAAGTTTCCATGAGATTATAGGCTTTCTGTAATTTTTGTTGTTGTTGAAATCTAACTTTAAACCATGGTGGTCTGATAGAACACAGCAGGTTATTCTAATTTTTTTGTATTTGTTGAGATTTGCTTTGTGGCCAAGTATGTGGTTGATTTTAGAGA